GGTCTTCATGTTTTTGTTTCAAACAAAAGAGAATCTCGATATTACTCGAAGGGTAAGAGTTTGAATCTAAGTAGAGCTTTGTTTCGTTTTGACGTACTTATAAAATGATTAAAACTCTTTGCTTTCTTAAACTTATAAGCACTTTTACTCAGAACAGAATTTATATAAAGGTATTTTTTTTTCGTATTCTTAAGACCGTACTGAAAGAAATTTATTTTCAGTCAATTATGCTTTCATTATATTTGAATAATAAATAAGTCTGTAGTTCAAAAATGAGGTTGATAATACATTTTTGTAATAGTTAGGGTATATTGCAAAAAGTTCAATCACTGGAATAAATAGCTTATTTGAAATATATGATGCGATAGCTTTATATTTTCGATTAAAATGATCAGATTTATTACGCGCACTCAGCAATTTTCTGACAACTGTGTCATATGAAAGGAACCTTTTTCGGACAACAGGGTTTTCATATCATTCAAATCATTTTGGGAACCATATGTTATATTACAATATCCTTATTTGATTGATGACTAAGTAACGGGGGTACCCTTATAAAAAAGGTCTACAAATATACTTGCAAAAGTAAATCTCAGTTTGACCTATGCGACCACTGGTCTGGTCGTAGTCAATAAGGTAATTTATAAATCAAAAAATAAATTGTAAAAAAATTCGACTCGTTTCGTGCTGTTGCTCTTGGAACGCTGATAATATGTAGTGTCATCATGTGCAATACAATGTTAAAAATATTAAAGTTTTTTAAAAATAAGGTATTCTATATATTTTTCAGAATAGTACACAACAAATAAAAATTGATTGTGTACTATTCTCGTCAAATTCATAATTACTTTCAGTTATATTGGACACATCGAACTATCCTTTATCAAGGTTACAAAAATAAAACTGTAGTTTTAAATTAATATGTTGTAGTAATAAAAAATCTTTGATTGTTCGATAAAATCAATTGTCATTTTAAAAAGTCAGTACACAAGTACAATAAAGAAGTTTTAAACTATAACAATAATGTAAACGTTGAAATAATCAGTTCGTCAGAAACAATAATTTTAAAACCATCTTCCGCAGTTCAGTTGTAGTGACAATGCTTTATCTAAACTTTAGAAGCAGTATCGGCGGACGAGCAGGTTTTCCTCTCAGCCTCTATAGTCTAGAGTGACCTACTTGTGTAGTTTGGAGAGGAAATTGCTAGTTATAAGTCTTATTAATTTATTAGTTTAATACGAGGCTTGGTAGCTTCACGTTATGTATGGTTATTTTAAATTAGTTTGTGTTATAGCGTCTTTGTCGTAAGAATACAAAACTGAGCAAAACCTACCCGCTTAGTTATACACTTTGAAGGCTAAATTCTTAGCATGTTTATGTTATGGTAATACAGTAATTGTAGAAAAAATATTAATTAATTAGTTACTTTGAGAGTTAAAAAACCTTTTAGTAATATACACTTAAGTTATGCTTCTAATTAAAATGACAGATTAATATAGGCTCGTTGGTGTAATAGTAGCAATATATAATGCACGGGTTGTAGATTCGATCCGCAACGGTCCAACGTGTTTCAAATTTACCTATATCTATTTATTATTTTTCTGAAACATGTTAAACTTCGTCTAGTTGCTAGGAATATTAAAATTCCACCCGGGTCACGAACCACCATCCACAGATGAAAAAACCGTAAAGTTTTAGCACGATTCGATTTTAGTCTGTGGAATAGTATTTCCGAATATCTAAACCCAAAATAGGTCGACAGCGCAACTTGTCAGCAAAGCCTTGTTGATCTATTTAAAAAATTGCTTGATTAATGAGAAACTTATTTTAATGACTATATGCGAAAAATAATAATTCTTACTTACAACCAAGTGAACCAAGCGATACGATTCTCGCGTCACACATAGCGTGTCTTATCTACTTTTTACCAAATAAATCTCGAGACGGTTTACGCTTTTAACAATTTATGTTACTTGAATACTTTCATTTTTAATAACTTTGACAGCGAGTGCATAGAAAATGTTAAATTCACATGGAAATGTTTTGAAACACAATAATGCACAATACAAATTTTCATTGCAAGTATTGCATGTTAATGTTGCAATATTCAAAGTTTAATACGAAGAGGAAAACTTTCGCGCGATTAAGCAACTAAGTCAGTAACTAATTTTCCGCCAATAACCGCAGGTCGCGCCACTTATATTCTCTCTTGCCAAACTAGCTTACGTCTGCGAATTCGTTTGTTTCTTTTTGTAACTAGTAAACACTTTGTTATATTGTATTAAATATACCCGCACCTATTTTACACGTCTTTCTTTCTAATTTTTTAAATATTTTAACAAGCGATCTACTGCTTAGAATCAAGTACACTTTACTATACCATGTTGCTGCCGTTATATAGAAATTACTATAATTGTACAAAATTGATTATTTTAAATAAGTTTACGTAACTTGGTGTTTCTAGGATTCGGATAGATGATATATTAATTCAATACTAATCATCCATATTTTAAAACTTATATGTTAGTTGAGTTAACAACTTCAGAAAAAAAAGAAATAAAGTATATTTACCATATTTATTTATTACATAACATTACAAAACTTCACACGATTTAATAATATGCAGATTGAAGTGGATATCTTAAATGCATTTTAAAGTGGTATCAAAATAGGTCAGGCCGTATCTTACAACGTGGTGCATTTTTAAAATTACTTTCTTACTTGGTATTAAGATTTCAACGTCTTTTGGACGCTGCGCTTGTAAAGGCCTTGAAATTTTTAATAACTTTAGACGTTATTTATTTATTTGTTATTGAAGCTTTTACCAAGCTAGTTATTGTTATAAGTCCATGTATTTTGACTTTATGAACATAAATACTATATAAGCAAAGGTTTCTTTTGTTTGTTGACTTAATTTTAAGCTTTTACGTACTTTCAAGGAGAAACTTCATTTAGTACATGGATATGACACTGATTGGTTGATTGTTGAACATAGTGTTAAGCCTTAATGCTTTGGACAGAGATAGAGCATATCATAGCCATTGTGAACAGACTGTAAACATATTATCAGCAGATGTCAACGACACGTGTTTCAGTTCGAATCTAGGGCGCTAGCGAGCACATTTCAGTTTCAGAACTGCGAAACCCAATGAAGTTACACAACACCGGAGCCTGTAGATTGTACATCACATTGAAATGAATTTTTACTCATTTACCTGCTCTTTATAATTTTGCCATATAGATCGGTGACATTTGGTCGACTTTTAATTTACAATAGTGCTTAAAAAATTGCAAACATTGTAAAAAATTGTGGATTACTTAATTGAATTTATATTATCAATAATTAAATTTTTGACATTGTGTGGACACATGACTGTTTTTTAATGAAAATTAAATATTTTAATGGGTAAGGACGCTTATTCACATGGCCTGAATTACACATAAATCCAAATCCCAAAGACTTAATACACTAAAAATATAAATACACAAAATACAGACTTAATAAATAAATATATTACATAATGGTTTGTCGTTTTCTTGCCTTTTATCAAAACAAAAAACCTTACAGTATTTAGAACAATGAGTTGACAATTAAGGACGTCGGTTACAATATACAATAGCACTTAACAATACTAAGTAATTTCGCTATAAATAATGTTTCTAGAATCTAAATGACTAGATTTACAATTTTATCCTTGCAATTTCTCATAAAATTTAGAACAATAGATTTCTGAAGTGGCAAAATTACCTTGACATTTTAAGTCTCAAAAAACATTACAAAGATATAATTTCCCACAGAATTTAATTAAAATGTCTAAGTATGTAGAAAAGTAAAAATATATACATAGAGGAAGTTTGTTTGTTAATATATCTCTATTAAACGATAATACAACTGCTTGTAATAAGCCAATTGAGAGTTAGAGTTACTTCACCTAAATGAAAATATACGACGCCATTTCAAATGTCAAATATATATATGTATACATCGACTGCTATTCCACACATGAGGGTCGTAAAAAATATTGAATGAAAATTTCACTGCTATTCCCAAACCGCTTTGAATTTAAAATTAACATGCATATTGTATTTGCTATCAAATAATTGGGATATGTAACTTTTTGCTTAAATTAATAGCATGATAAAATTTCAATGCGTTTTACGTTGATAATGTTACAAGGTCAGAAGATCTAAACCCATACACGAAAAAGCAAAGGCGTGCAAAAGTTTATTATGTCTGCCTTATTGAATAATTAATATATATTATTTTTTTGTAAAGACAACAGTCTATATTCATAATTGTTTACCAGGTATTTATGTAATTCGAATTGAAATCCTTATGTACTGATAAATGAATAATTATTATGTTTTTAAATTTATAAACTTCATTAAAAATTATAATGTTAAAAGAATATGAAATGGACTGGGACTGAAACCGCAAACTAACTCAATATTACATTTGCATAATACAACAGCCAACACTAGGTTGAACTGTAGCGGTGTTGCCTCATTTGTTATACAAGAACAGATTAATTGCCTAAATTAATAGGTAACGTTAATTTAGAAGGATCACTTTTGCTCTGTACAATTGAATAAGCTTAACTTGTCGTCCGTGTAGAGCCAAAGCCAAATAATATGTTTAAATTTTTATAAAATTATTCAAAATACTATTAATTGTTGACTTTCATACTATTCGTAGAGGGTGCTACGTATATGCGTAGCATATATCGAACTGAGCTACGATATTTAATATTGTCTCAAACCCTACACATTTCAATCAAATATTCTATTATTCGTAGAGTGCGCTACGAACTCTTGTAGCCTCTCTACGAAGTGCTACAGTTTACATATTATATGTTGTGTTGTATTTAATAATTATGCTTGGGTCGTTATTAAATGTTTAAAAATGTATATTTTAGAAAAGTAATCCTTGTTACTCTCTAAATTAAAGTTTATACTAAATAGCAATAAGGTTCGAATTTCAGCTCTTTTGAATCATTTTCTTAGTCGGCATATAGTCCTTCATAAAGGCATCGTGGCATGTGCTCGGCTAAAATGGACTTTAGTTTCTCCCTCGGGGACACCGGGGTGTAACGAGCAAGCGGGAACGTACGTGTAACACCGTCGCTCAGGGCCCTTGTCACAGCTGTTAGGTCGACATCCTATGAACAAAAGAGAAGCGTTTTACTTAGTTATTTAAATAATATATTAACTACTTATTTACTAAAAAGATTGTTTTATCAAATGACTAAATGTTTATTGACAATCATTTGTTTAAAGAGTAGATTAATGCATTTTTAGTGTTGCTTACAATAAATATATCTTAATATCATATATATATTAAAAAAAGTTACCACAGAATTTACAACAAAAATGTACCTGAACCAAAGTTTAAGCGTGTTTTTTACATCATTAACTTTTGAAAAATAAAATGTGATGTGAACTTTTTTTCTTGTGCATTCATCTTAAAATATCTTCGCATAATCGTGATATTTTACCGAGTCATTAGCTGCATTTTGATATAGTATATGTTGTCTTATGTTATTCTCTCAAAAAATTGCGCTTCACCTTATTTCGTATTGTCTTGTCGCATTCAGCCGAGCGAAACAAGTATGAGAGTCCGTTGTGTGTTTTCTGTAACTTGAGACAAGTCACATCTTTTATAGAATGCAGTTCTTCATAACGCGACAACAAAGCCCACTAGGCTACGAATAAAAACGTGAAAAGCAACGTTATGTCATAAAGAACGCTACCTACATTTTTATTTAGGCTGTTTTATGAGGGATCTTTGGTGATCTTTATATAGGAGGAGGAAAAAAAAGCAAGGGTACACTTAATGGAAGGTGATTTACCCTAGCCATATAATATCTCAACAAATGCCCTGTCGAACTATTTTTGCTTTGGATATTCGTAAAGACACAGACTGAAATCAAAAATTTTCGTGACCCGAACGGAATTTTGACACTAAGAATAGAATAGAATAGAACTTCTACCACCCATTTAATAATGTCAAAATTTTAATATAATATAAATTGATTAGTAACACGCTGGATCAGTGTGGACCCATATTACCCACTTGTTACATTACATCAACTAGCCTGTCAAAACGTTAGAGACTCTTTAGAAAGAAAAGGGAAAGAAGAAAATCAAGTGAAAGTTTTATAGATACATATATCTAATCTAAAATGTTAGTTTTTTATTACAATCAGATATTCTACGGACACAAGAGCGATATATTATTAAAATGTTTAATAAATGACGAAAACCTTTTCATTATTTGATCCAGTAATTAAAGTGATGTAAATGGATATGTTTTACTAATTGGATGGAAAATAAATAATTCGTAACGATTTTGTATAGCTCGTGTCGTTAAATAAAATTTACGCTGCAGATAAAATAATTATCTGATAACGGTTGTAACTATTTTTATTTAAAAATCATACAATTCAATATTTTTTAAATTGAATTACCTTAAGCTATAATCAACACAAAAATGTAAATAAAAATACAATCAACATCATTCAAAACAAATTACAGAGAACTTAAACTTGTCGAACTATCGAAAGCCAAAAAGGATCGCATCGTGTTAGAAACATATAACGCGATGCGCATCGACTTATTTTGACTCTGTCGGCCAATTTTCAATCTGGCAGGGGTATTTTATGTCCCATCAAGCTCCCACGCCTGTCTGGCCTCCTTTATCATCAAAAAAATACTATGTAATATAATATTATATATGTACTTCTTATATTACTATGTAGTTGAACACAAACATTCAATTACCAAACTGTAAAATATGAATAGATTTTTATGAAAAAAAGTGGTTATAATAAGTATAAGTGCATTTCAAGTGAATAACAGAAAGCCAAAGATGAATTCAAACCTTATTCAGTGCAGAGTTGAATAGAATCGCATGAAAACTTAATTTGGGGAATGGCTCAAAGTCAAACGATAAGGTCAACTTATCGGTTGACTTTGACTGGCTACAATTGGGGACGAATTTAACTTAAAATATATTATTCGGTACTGTTTATTTATCGACTTAAATTATTAAACTTATATGTTATTTATTTTAATTATGTATATTATATTTATTCTTGTATCTCGACACTGTCGAATTTAACTATGTTTTTTTATATATTTATAACTAATAAAGCATCAGATCATAACAAGCTATACCCATAATTACCAACTTAAGGGTCAATTTTTTATTTCAAACAAAAAGTTCTTCTTAATTTAATCAATGCGATCGACAGACCATACATGATACAGTTTACGAAAGAAGTGTGAGTTTTTATTTGCATGATGAGGATTCGAGCTTTTAATTTATAATAGACTATAAACTGAAAGCTTTATTAGATTTCGGTTCTTGACATAATATATACTATATGTTTTTAAACTAGTATTATTAAAAACTTGAAATAATCAGTCCATTGACTTAGTAAATTATATTTTGATTAAAGCCAGATGTATATCGACAAGTTTCCATTCTTGAAGAAATTCTAGACGCCGAGACGCCTGTAATATTACTCAAAGCAATCTCTTTAATTCTTAGCTGCGATTAAATTCTTCTGTTTTTTTTTGCACAACATAAAATTTATTTTAATCTTATACTAGTAAAACGTAAGTGAATTTATTTAGAATTGCTGTATGTAGACATTGGATAAGAAGACGTAATTATGTTTGAGGTATAAATATTTCTATGTTCATTATTTAGAAAGATCGAAAGTATTTCAACTTAATGAATTATAAATATTGTCGTGAACCACCATTGCTTATATCAGATTTATTTCAATCACTAACCACTTATCAAATTCAACTCCGCGAAGTTTAAACAGTTTTTCAGGTGAAATTTGAAATAAGCAAAGTTGGATATTCCCCACAACAACCGAACATTGTGGTAAGCCTGGATTAAATCAAAGTTTAATTTTCGAGTTCTAGCAGAACATCTACAATACCAATAACTGAAACGTTTCCTGTTTGGACTACTCTCGAAAATCTTACAAATAATACGTTGCTTTAAAGCTAGTGTGATATAGATAGACTTTTAAACTTTGACTTTTAGTCTAACTGCCGAGTTTTATTAAAATCGTTTCGTGACTTTTAGGCAAACCGGAATATCGGAAAAATACTTTTAAAGTTCAACTTATGAATTACTAATGTCCGGTTACTGTTGGCATAAATTAAATTCAAAAGACATTCCAAGGCAGAATGTATACAAAAACTAAAATATATTAAATCTATAAAAGGTTTTAAACCCGTAACAGTTCAATTGTTTTTATGCTAGAGAAAAACCTCAGCTTACTAAACTTCACGGCTTTATCATATGTGAACGGTGGATTGTGGCCAAAATGTAAATAAAAATACAATCAACATCATTCAAAATCCAGATTACAGACGAAGATGTTTATAATATAATAACATGTTTCAGAAAAAGATAAATATAAAAAAAGAATATGAATAAAGATAAATTGATTAGTAAAATATTGGACCGGATCGAGTCCACGGCCCGTTAATTATTAGCCGTACATTGCTTCCATTACTTGATGTTGTATTTTAATAGCTATTTAGTAACCAAACCATGGATACATCTTTAATGTTTTAGAAGATCATAATATTTTTTTATACAATAGGAATGCGTTCACTACTCTGTGCTTGTAGCAACGGCCCAGTATAGCCTAGTTTGCGACACTCAGGGCCTCTCACTTGGAGACTGGAGACTCCTTAACTCACTCGAGTAGTTCTCGCCCGCCCTTTTGCTCGTCTCCCAGTCGTTCCACACATCACAAGCTCGTGCTAGAATTTTTCATTTCATAAAAGTACACAGACGTCGTTAAGGCTTATCTTGCCCTGTACACCACTTCAATTAGTGTATCAAAGTTAACTTGGAAACAAGGAAATTGCTGCCACAAAGCAGCAAGCAAGACTTAATTGAGTATGGTGTCCTTAATGTCATTTTGTTCAAAGTAATTATGTATTAAGTATTGTCTGTAATTAACGTGACTAGTACACTTCCGTCGTTTTTTTTTTTTTTTAAATAGTTCTTAAGCAAAATTTTCAAGAGCATTTACTAATTTGGCCTAAATTTAATAAAACTTACCATTTGTTTCTTTAACATTTCTACAATCTTTCTGGGTTGATCCATTGAACGCATATAAACAAAACATGTTTTTCATAAAAAATACTTATCCATTTGAAATTTATAATAAATGCTTGCTCTTTTGATGAACTTTTACATCATTTGCACAGAATAATTAACACCTTAATTAGCTTCAGGCTAAAACATTTTAATTTGCTTCTAGTCTCGTTTTATTACATCCGACGGATTTCGCATCTACATCTACGTAACATGCCGTATGTATAGAAAGGTCGACGTTGAAATACAGCCTCATCACGACTCTATTTCCGTCTACACTATGGGCACGAACGAAGTCATAAGCGAAGCGATAAGCTGAGTGGCTACTCTTGCCAGACATAAATTGAAAACACACGTAATTTTACAGATTGTATAACGAACAAACGTACGACGAATCATTATTTGAAAATGCTCAAGTAGCTTGATGAAGTTTTGAAGGTTGATAAGTAAATATTTTCAATAGTAAAAAGCTTAACCATTTTTTGTCATAAACGAATTGTCGCTACATATATATATGCATATGTTGTCTGTCAATGTAGCCTATGCCTTATCTCCATACGTCGGCACTTAAGTATAATTTTACACTGTAACAGTAAGTTATTATTAACCAATATTATTTTAACTACGAATATATAATAAGACAACCTAAACAAAAAAGAACAAATTAAATTTCTTATGTCCTATTTTTGCCTGACACACAATAAGGAGTGGGCATCTCCTTAGATAGTATTTAGCGATATCGAGGACGGTTCACCTTCAGAAAAACATGCCTTTCTCATCTGAGGTGAGCAAGCGAATACACAGAGTCCAATTTCGTTTCAATCAACGGACCTTTTACTCAATCATTCTTGTTCTTTTCCAAATTTAATTATCGAATTTCATTTTTCACACTTTTATATTTCATTGCCAAAAGGAAACACGTTTTTTGTAATATTGATTGGGGATTTTAAATACGTTCTGTATATAAACGAAAGACTTTTTAAGGATTGTTTAATATTAAAGAATTTTATATAGATTATTATATATAAGAAAAGATACATTCTCTAAGAATGTTTTATTACCCTTTCATTAATTATATCCGTTTATTATGCGATTTCACTACACACATATGTAAGAAACTGTATTCAATTACTTCCACTGTAATGAAAAAGAGGAAATTGGAGGTGCTTTTTAATGTTTCTTACACTCAGCACTCAGCAGCGCTGGTTTTCGGATTCGTAAATAAAAAAGGATATATATTAATTGCGAGTCAGACTAGGAATTCATTGCCTAAGCAAAAAGCAGTAGGTACTTCATACCGTAACCTTAGTTTATTTAAATAAAATACTCTAACGGTTTAAAACGCAAAACATATTAGTTCACTTATTTTTTCGTTTTAACCACGGTCCGCTTCTACGTGACTACGGCTGCTGCAGAGCGTCTTAATCGTCGGTTATATAATAAATTAAAAATAAGTTAACTAATATATATAAACTTAAAGGTTTTTATTTTAATGTATAATCGAGTAAACAACAGACAATATTTAACCTTATTTTGGTTAATTTAATTGCCTACTATCTTATTGATATCGGGCGAAAGTAGGTATTCATAAAGCAGGAAGGAAAAATAATCAGCGTTCATAAAACACAGAGATCTTGTTAATAGGTAATAGAATCTAGTTTAACCCTTTGTATGAGTATTTTTTGTTACTAAAGGATGCGATACTGTAACATACATTGTTAGTTTTATCTTAGGTGTAAAAGCGTACGGAAACATAAACAAAATGAGAGACTCATTTTGCTACATACACTCGCGACCATAAACTATTTAGCAGTTACTTAGCACTGTAATATATGCTGAGCTATAAAACATTATATTAGTCCGTTCTTGTATACGAAGAAATTAATTTTATAACTTATAGCTTCAGTGTATATTCCGTGTTTTAAGTAGGGTTTTGTTTAAGAAAGGTTTTTAATCAAAATTAACGTATAAATTAAATTGCGGTATAGCTGTGCTAAAAACTCACGAGAATAAATTTGCAAATGGCAAAATATGGATATACATGGATTTTAATTTAAATATTAAATTAGAAAATGGAAAAGAAGAAAGTTTAGCTTAGCACTTTTATGAAAAAGAAAAGAACAAAAAAAAATTTAGAAGAAAAAATAAATAATAAAAATAATGGTGTTTTTTATTATTTATAAGAAGAAATAAAAGAAGAATGATTTGAACTAAAAGTTCGTCTGTTCTTCTTCTGTCATTTCACGATCCGAACATTATTTTTTACTCAAAAAAATAATTTTAAATTACAAAAAGTCATTTATTTCAAGGTCATAATAAAAGCGCATTTATATTATCTATATAATATAACTATATTATAATTTCATGTAACTATTAACGTTTATTCAACATAAAAGCTTATTAAAGCTCTACTCTTATCTAACTTGTTCTTGACATTTGAAAACAAAGAGCTTGATTCGAAAGATAATAAAAGGGGTCATCTAAGTTGAAAAGCTTTCGGAATGTTTTATAAATCACTAAAAACTTTCGCTTTGACTGTCGGCCGGGGATATTTCTGTGAATTCCGCTGTGTATGTTTTTAAATGAGAGTCAAGGTTTCGCCTCGCTGACGTAACGGTTAATCGAATTGTGTAAAGCTCAAAGGGTCCTAAGTTCGGGTCTCACAGTAACTTAAAATTATTATGTTTAAGCTAGCAATAGAAGCTTGCTCCTTGTCTGTGAATAAAATAATGAAGCAGACACAGAAATCTGCGTCGTGACCCTCGTAGAAGAAACGGATCTTGTCGTTAAGTTACGAATGTTTTTCACGAATAATAAATGAAATTCTTACTTGTTAAAAATATAGCATTTCTTTGATTAAAAAACCGGTTGAGAAATACTTTCTTCAAACTAATTCTTTTCAGGAATAGAAGTAATTTTAAAATTAAGAAATAGATATTCGTTCGCATAGCTCGTTCAAAACATCTAGAAACATAATTTAAAAATCGAAAATAAATTGAAAAAATTTTCGATTTTTAAATTATATAGTGCCTTCATGTGCAATAACATGTGAAAAATATTAATGTTTTCAAATCTAGAAACATTTCAATATAACAACTTTATTCGAAATATAATAGTTACTGATTTTTCAACTGCTTCCTTTAAATTAACAATATATCACGTTTTATTCCGCGAAAAGTGATATTTGTTTTTATCTATATATAATATATATACCAATCGCGCAAACTACAACTACTACTTGTCTATACATAGAATAAATAAACATATAGGCAATTTTCATCTTAAGAACATATTTCATTATATTATATTTCAACTCAGACATGGTATTATACATAGTATGTCTGATTGTTAAGATTTGATGTATTTAAATATTACGAAGTGAGATCGTGGGTTTTCATTTATAGGTATACAAAATTCCCCAACCATATACGATCTAAACAAGATCCCCTGTTAACATAATATTATAAATCAGTTTTAAAAAGTTGGACCTGGTGGATATCCAGCCCACGATTGATTATTTGCTATCAACCAATGTGAAAAGTCTACGTAGTTACTGATAATATTCCACTAACCGCGTTCTTAGTGTACTTCTCGAGACTTCTCAGCGCCTGTTCAAAGTAGTCTTCGCCGTATGCGCCCTTCTGCTCGTCGCTGAGTCGTTTCCACATATCGCGGGCCTGTTCTAGGAGCTTCTCTTCGGATAGCCAGGCGCTTCCCGTCGTATATTCACCAGCTGCTACCACCACCTGTGTTCAAGCCAAATATTTAAAGGTGATATCGAGTGTAGGCGTAGTAACCTTCACTATTAGACAAGGGAAGTCCCATAAAACCTGTTATCATTTTTTACTTTTCTCCGTAGACTTATAATGTGAAAATTTATAATTTGTCGTTATTTAAATAATTCAGGGTACCATAAAGTAGAACAATTCCATTTAGTATTTCATGATTTTGTCGTTGGATTGTTGCTTTACACAAAAAATTTGATATTACTGGGACAGATAATATAACAAAGAATCATATCTGATTTGAATTTATTGAAACGATAGGCACACTTGAGAAATATCGGTTTGAAACTGATATCAATCTCTTGTTTCGGTTTGGCGTTCACAAAATCAACACGAAACGATTTGCTATTTCGAACCGGGGTTAATAACAAAGTCTCGAACACAGAATCGCTTTATAGACAACGATATTACGAAACAGTGTTCATTTAAGGCGAGTTCGAGCGTTTCCAATTAAATTGACGGACTTAGATAATTACCCTATGCTGCTTTTAAGTCTTGTTTGATGTTGTCGAAATTTGATTTTCACTTTTCGACTTTTTAAATACAGAGAATGCATTTTTTTTTTAGGAAATGTCAAATGTATTAATAATCTGGACCTTTTCACAAACTTTGCTAACTTTGTTCAATTATGTCAAAATAAATTTCCTATTTTTTTCTCTTTTTTTTATATGTTAGTTTATTTCTATTGTTATTAATAAGCAAAGCTGTGCTTGTCTGTAAGTTAAATACTTATGTGCTACTTTCGATGAGTATAGCATTATATTGTAATGTATTCAGAATTACTTAGTTGATAAGCCATTAAGAATAAATAAATGTTTCTTCTCAAAAGCGTTAGCCATGAAAGATCGTGAATTTGAGCTCCGATTAAACGTGATAAATAAAAACGTGCACAAAAGTGTATCCCATTGCTATCTCGGTTCACTGCGGTTTGTTTAATCTCTCAATATGCGGACGTATTTTTCCAGTTATGTCATAGTGGAGCAAAGGGCTTTTCAGTCGAGAGACACGAGCTAGCTGGTCGGTCGGGACATTAAACTTTTAATGCCTCTCATTAGAACTAGACTTTTAACCTAGTTTACGCGATGTGAAACATAATAATCTTTCGTAAGCATATTTCGCTTTAAAGTTAACTATTTTCTGCTTAGGGAAATTTCAGGTTTTTCAGCGTATAAGAAAGTTTATGAACTTGTTTTTTACTTTAGAATGAGTTTAAAAATTCGATTTAAAGCGACGAATAACGTTTAAACAGATTGTATTTGTTCAGTGGTTTTTAAGTAATACTTTTTCTATTTATAAGAAACATATAATTATAAATTTTATTAATTTGTATCATCTAATTAGCTTTAATCCTTATATAATTTAAAAGGCATTTAAACTTAAGTTCAAATATTTCAAGTATACTAAAATACAGTGTAACACACTTTGTTTATAATTTATTGGTGAATAAATTCCCGAGCGCCCGTAATGTATAATTAATTAACTTGCATAATGAAAAGCATTGATTAACCTCTTGTTATAATTACATCGAAATATTAGCTGTATAGCTAGTCAACGTTTACGATTTATAAAATACATAAACTAATTAAAAATAATATTTTTAAAATAATAAATATGTCTAAACTCATATGTCACTGTGGCTGTTTCACTAAAGAATTGTATATGCAGGTATTGTATACAGACATAGTAGTGGTATTTATATTCTATACTAGTGATTTCCGAAGTAGTCTATATCGACCACTAGAAGCTATGACAACCTACAAGGGATCTACCTCAGGAAAAAAACAACAAAAACAAAATGTTATTTTGAGTAATTTTAATATAAATTCAATTAATAAATGTATAAACTAACATGTGGTTTTGCTTTTAGTTTATAACACTAAACTTAACTACAGTAAGGAAATAATATTCTACGCGGACGAAGTCGGTGACACAGCTAGTAGTGTAATCAAACAGTGCAGAAGGTTACAAGAAAAACCAGAAGGTTAGGTTAGGTTAGAAAAAAGGTTATTTGTATAATATCATCCCTTCTAATGGGGTATACAAAGAATAAATTACTTTTAACACGTAAAAAATGTATAAATATTAAGTAAAAATTAAAGTCAGTTTCATAAGTTAATATTTAGTTAACATAGTTGGATATTGTGAGCATTCAATGAAATAAAAACAGCAATAACCCAGCCAAAGCTATAGATAAACCTTTCTCGTAATGGAAACTAACGAGCTATACAAAGAAGGTAATTTGTTGAAGTTTTCTAATCGAATTCTTACTTAAATGAGTCTGAATTCAGGTTGCGGTATTTTGCTGCAGGTGGAAAACTTTTATTGCTTTAACTAATTAAAATAATTAAATGAATAAATTAGTAAGTCGGCGGGTGCTTTAATGCATACGAAACATCGGGTTGTACTTAAGAATAATTTTATAAGATATGTCGCGTGTCAAACCGTTAACTGTGATTATTTGCGTTAGATTTAAACAAATTAATGAGACTTCAGTGATAAGGAAATCATTTCTGCAATCAGATAATACTCTTTAGTAATAATAAAAAAATAGAAATGATTTCTTTTTATTATTTATTACCACAAAATCAAAGTAAAATTTTATTCAATTTTTTTACGGTTGTCATTCGAATCTGTTTAATTATTAAAAATATTAATTTGTTCACAATAAAAGTAGATAAAATAGAAAAGAGACGGTGAATTCATTATTCCTCTATGTGGGACATAGTGCACACACATTTTATGTCTGTTTCAGTGCGTTTTAAGGCAAGTGGTTGATCAGATATGTGCGTTTCCCAATCGGAATTATTTAATGTTTAACCGGGCTTCAAATCCTGGACTGCTAGCTCCAGTTGTACCAGCACGCGTAAGTAAAGACAAAACATACATAACTAAGTAATACTAAGTATTTATTAAATAAAAGTGACCCAGGTCTCTGACCGAGGAAGAACAGGCCCCAGCTAGAGAAGCATAAAAAAAAAAAAAAAATAACAAAAGAAAATAATAGAAAAAATAAAAATTTTTAACATGTTATTGCACAGGAAGATAATTAAAAAATAAGTGAAAAATGTTGAATCATTCATCATTAATTTAAATTTCTCTAAAGAACATTAGTTTAGCGTATACTTAAGCTCAAAAAATGTCTTAAAATAACGACTTAAATAAAGCTTTTAACATTAGCCTCTAAATAATTGTATACCGTCATTGTGTATTTAGCCACAAGCTTTTAGAACAGTGTCGTTAAATAAATTAGGATAAAGTTAGCTGGCTAATGGACTATTGGACCACACCCTAACTTACCCATTAGAATATGTTTCGGATTAATGATAACAAGTCAGTAGATAAGGTGTGAATAATGGTACAAATAATTATTCTGAAGTACTTTAGACAATTACAAGAAATAAATGACACACTAGGAGTCCAAAACCACGACAAGGGAAAATTATTTCTGACCTGGCAAACGGTCTTTTGCCATATGATGTTACAGTCTTTTAACTAAAAGTTGATTGGAATAAAATTTGTTGTTGTGAGTTAATGTTAAAAGAAAGACATAATCTGTTGTCGCAGACATTTTTTCAGATTATTTGACGAACAAATTTTAATAATAAATGATAAAACGATTAACAAAACGGAAACTCTCAAAGATGAACAATTCTCCTCGTTAAATACTGTCTGTAGTTTACACGAGTGGTACACATTAAAAGAAAACACTTTAACGGATTAAAACACGATAGATTTTAGTTAAACTTGTTTGAAAATTATTTTTAACTACGGCCCGACGTTTTTTTTTCCAAGATTGGTACGCGAAGCAATTGAAATTAAGAAAACATACGGCATACCGGCAAAAGCGAAGACACCGTAAGCCAATTCTGCAAGGACCCGACCAGTTTCGCCAAATACCAACTTCGACGGAAGAGATGACGCAAGCGTAGCAATTTTTACTTTGACGTCAGAGACATCCTCCATCTTTAGTCTCTCCGTGACCACGGCTACTGCAAAGCATCCGAAACGTCGGGCCGTAGTTAAAATAACTTTAACTAATTTATGTCGCGTTTTAAACCGTTATAGTGTTTTATTTAAATTCTCCTCGTTGTTTTCACATTTCCCACTATTTCCTTGCTCCCATCGGTTGCAGCCTGATGTTTTATAGTCTTCCTCAATAAACGCTCCAACCGATACAAGAATATATTTTACAATTCAATCCAGCAATTCAGCTTTATAATATTACTGTAGATTTCGTATTAGAATCAAGGCCTGTTAGGGTAGGCCCTAACAGGCCTTGATTCTAATACGAAATAACCTTATTTACACACGCATACATAATTATATTACTCTTAGTACCATATAAAGCTGAAGAGTTTGTTTATTTGTTTGATCGCGCTAATCACAGAAACTACTGGTTCAAATCGAAAAATTATCTTTGTGTTGGTTAAAGCCTTTATCAAGCAAGGTTAGACTATAAAACATTGTCAGCATTGTGACTAAACAGCGGGAAATGTGCAAACACGGGGAAAATTATTCATCTCTGTGGGTTTCCGATGCGTACGCCGCGAAAACTGTTCAAGAAACCCAAAAAATATGATTCCTCTTTAAATGATCTAAAAAAGTCTGTCTATCTTCTAAGGTTAACGTACATATTACGTAACAGCTTAAATTTATAGAGATGAAGAGGAGTTTTCAAAAACTAATTCGGATGCCCAAAATAACTATACTATGCAGACGAAGTCGCAGACACAGCTAGTAACTTATATTTAATGATTCTGTTGTGAATTCTCCCAGGAAACAGTAAAATACATCTATAGCCCACTATATTGAGAGTCCCCTGTATGGCCTAATGTACACACTTTAAAAATTCGTATATTTTGATGAATTTGAAGATAAAAATGGAGGTGATTTAGCTCAAAGAGTTATAAATATGTAAGGAGCACAAATATTCGTGTAGTGAATCCCTAGGGAAACATAAAGAGTAAAGTCATCGGGCGGCAAAAATAATTTTGCTGGAGTTTACCTTTGTAATTGACTCATGTAACAGGATTTGGCATATCGCCAACTATCGTTCATTTTCATGTATTTTTAAAAGCGGTTTTTGTGTGACTTGATTAATATAGTGTCACTTTTTGCTAGACAGGCATCTTATAGTTCACGAAGGTAAAAAATAATATATCGTTACGAAGAAGAATAAACGTTAACTAAATCAATTTATATACACACATAATTTAATATTTATACCTTGTTTGGAAATATAAACGAGAGGTGTAATTGTTAAAAAATAACTATACTTAAATAAAACACTTTTAACGGTTAAAAATGCGATATTTATAATTATTTTAATTTATTAATATTAATAATTATTAATAAACTTATATAGAATTTAATTTAACTGGCACCTCCGAAACATCGGCCCGCAGTTAAATTAAAACGGTTTACTAATATAAAAGTGTTTTATTTAAACTATTCGCGTAAACTAAACCATACTTAAAATAACTGTAAATTTATAACAGTAAAGGTATCGCAACAATGTAACCTTTTTGGGAACTGTCATCTATTTTTGGATTTATTTTACTTGAAACGAAAATATATTTTGGGTCACCCCTGCCCCTTCGCTAGATATTTTGGTAATAGGGAACCGAAATAAGTCCGAGAAGACATACCTTCCTCACAGACAGACAGGACACAGGCAAGACTCGAACCCCACTGTATACAATGTTCTACCGATCTACGCTTTGTCAATAAAATTTCGCAATGTAATACAAATATACAAACTTAAAACGTAAAAAATATTGAATCCGCACTTACAACGTCAACGCCTCGTGGTTTCAACTCCCTTCTCAGGCAAGCAGCAAGAGCGTCTAGTGCTGCTAATGATGCAGCATGAACACCTCTAACTGGAGCAGCTACGTGGGTAAGAATAGATGATGCGAGAACTACACGACCACGAGCTCGTCGTACTAGTGGTAGCATGACTTGCACTAAGCGAGCTGGACCTGCAGAATAAATAATACATTAATGAAATAATAATTAAACAACCAAGAAATGAAAAACGGACAAAAACGATTATGACTATATTTGAGATTGTTTTATATTACGTCAAATATTCTAAATCTACAGCAAAAACAATGCTTAATAAAAACACTTTTAACAGTTTATAACGCGAAATTTAGTTAAATTTATTTTATAATATAAGACATAAATCAGATACAAACATCATAGGTGAAAGAATGGTTAACCTAACGATGATTCACCAATCAATGATTGATTCTTATAAAATACAGAATATACAAGAAAGCAAAATAAAAAAAAAAACAAAAAGTAAACGTCGATATAACTGAATTAAAACGTGTTTTAACTAAAAAACTAACATACTAACTGAAAACCTTATTCACTTGACTGTCTGCTTATATTAAAAAAAAACTTTACTAACATTTCTAGTTATAATAATAATAATATAAGCCTTTATTTCGGATAGAATTACATTAGTATGTTTTCGTTAATCAATAACCGGTACATTCGTTTGCCTCTTTCTGGCATAGGCCTCTTTTAACTTCCTCCACTCGACACTTGGTTGCAAAAAAAGTTACCATTTCTAATTACCTGCCCTTACTTCAATATAATAATAAGAACGGGTACTACAGAACACTAATAACACACTAGTGGTGAACATTAAGACTGTTTCGTTCATAATTGATTAGCTAAGAACACTGTGTGCTATGGCAGTCGAGAGAATATTGGGTTTGAGTGTTATTGACGGCAATATGCCAGTATAAACGTGTACTGTAGTGTGTAATCAGAATTAGCAATCAGGATAGTAACGTAATAATAATAGAATTAAAAATCGCCAAATTACAAGTTGACGAAATTGGACGATGACGTGTAGGGCACGGTAGTTCAATTGGTTAGAGCAACAGGTCGAAACGCTGTGGATACCGATTGAAGTCTTGTCCGTGTCATTTTTTTTTTTTCAATTTAAAATCGGTTTTTTGTTTATATTAGCCACCACGTGCAATAATATGTGAAAACCTCAAACGTTCAAACCTTAAAAAAAAACACTTTAATCCTTAATATCCCACACGTAAAATCGGCTTCTGCGAAACATCCGAAACGTCAGGCCAAAGTTATAATAAAAATAATAACTGATATATTTCGCGTTCAAGACACTACTGTGTGTGTGTGGTGTCCTAAAAACGTCGGGCATTCTTGTTTCATCTATACTAATATATAAAGCTGAAGAGTTTGTTTGTTTGTATGTTTGAACGCGCTAATCTTAGAAACTACTGGTTCGAATTCGAGCATTTATCGAAAAAGGCTATAAAACATCGCCCTGTGACTAATACAAGAGAATGATTCCTCTTAAAATTACCTAAAAAAAAGTCCGCGATGCTATTGTCTATCTTTTAAGATTAACTTGCAAGATCGACGGGAAGAGACGTGACCGACGTCATGGGTCGCGTCCCTTACGAAACGAATATAAAACGAATTTGGATGCCAAAAATAACGATTACCGCAGACGAAGTCGCTGGCACAGCTAGTATTATATATAAGCAAGGTGGACGATGGCTGGCCATGCGTCTTACTCATGAACGGGTGCTACTTGGTGGCTGGCCTACCTTCAACCATTGTACGCAAAATTAAAATTTACTCGACAGAGTAAATCGTTTGCGAATTGCTGTCACTAATTACTTAACATAGCCCTTAGTGTAAAAACTAGGCAGTGAAAGGAATTGCGGCTAGTTTTTTGCGGGATCTTTTTGTGCTTTCTACATCCTTTATTTGACAGTTGTCAAATACTAACACTTACTACCAGTTGGTAGTAAGTGTTAATTTTATTTTATAAATGTTAATTAAATAAATACTAATAGCATTTTTGCCTACAACGAAAATAAAATATTAGCGACATTACCGAATAAGTTTTCATACAGCAACGAAATGAAATTAAAATATTCTGTGCCTCAAAACCAGTAAGTAACGGAATATGAATCTTAATATTCCAAGAATTCGTAGCCATAGAGGTATGTCTTAGATGTTCCGGCATTTGAAACCGATCCCTTTCTGGGAGAATTTAACATTCCGTCTTTTGCAGACTTTCGAAACTTTGGTAACATTCCAAGTTTTGTTTTAGTAATAAATAATGCTCGATACTTTAATATTACAGTGCTCGGTATTAGTTATTAACTAAATGTATACAGAGGACCGCACCCGTGGAAACTCGTAACCCATTCTTGTGAAACGCAAAGTCCTAGGTTGAATCTCACGAAATTAATTTATTTACTTTTTCTATTTTGGTTGAAATTACAATTTACTAATTAAATATCAAAACTAAGTTTGTTTATTAAGTGTATTTGCATCTAACCTTTCTCATTCTTAACCGACTTAAAAAAGTTGGTTCTCAATTGCATATATTGCATGATTTTTTATGTTTGTTTGCGCATAACTTTTTCGTTCAGAACCAAATTTGATGAATTTTTTTGTTGATAAGTAGCATTTTTATCAGAGCTAATGTGCACGAGTAGTTAAAACTTTTAGGAAAGATGTGTGTATGACACAATTTTTGGAAATAGATTGTAAATTTATGTATACAAGTAATAGTAAGTGAGTAAGTAAGAAGTATAAGTTATTATTTTACTTGACAATTGAACTAAATAATAATAAATTGAATGAATAATTGACTGTTTAAAATGAGCTATTTTTGTTAAAAATATAATAAACTATTCTTACTGTAAGGTAAGGTATAAAATTACACGTTAATTCAGATTTCCGCGAAACTTTTAATAAGCCAGAGTCTAAAGCATGAAACTTTGGGAGTTGATAATTAAAAATTTTACAAACCAACGTGGCTTGGAGCTCGTGTAAGCTATAATGCTTTTTAATTAGGAGCGTGGCCTAAACAAGTTTTTGAAAAGTGAAGACTTGCAACTTCTAGGAACTTCTGTTGCGCTTTTGAAGCTAGGCTTATACAAAATGTGTTCGTATGTCTCGGATTATTTATTCATACCTCCGTTACATTACACAAATAGTAACGTAAAAGAATTGTCTGTAATCGCAAACAGTATACATTAAAATAAAACTAATAGTTTGAAACGCGAAATTATGTAGGAAACGCTATTGATATGACCCGACCTTTTGAATGCTTTGCATGCGACCTGCTGCAACGTAAACGTGTATTGAGAAAAAATCTAATTCCAAATTTCATCGAAAATCAAAAGCCAAAATAAGTTGTCAGCTACCATCTTCACCTACCATCAAGTGGAACCGAAGCTCGTCATCCTTCTCTATTGCAAAACATTGTATTGAAATTTACAGCATACCTAATTCACATTACCTGTCCCGTCATATTTCTTTGCCGAGCTAACAAAAAAAAGGCCGAAACCCAATACCTTCATTCAATCATTTGATTCGAATGTCAGAATAATATTCGGCTCGTGGAATAATTTAGTTTTGGCAAAACGCCAACCGACGCTATTCATTGGAAAACTTAGCCGATTTAAAAGCTGGAACAAATTGGGAAACGTACCTGTATTCCTATTTTTTTTTATTTGAAACGTTTCACAAGAAAATTCATATTCATAGATATTTGATTTATTGGTATAATAAACAACCTGTTTAATGCCTGACTAATAGTAAAAGTAAGGTAAAGTAAGGTAATATGATAAGTTTTTAATTAAAAATTGTAGATTTTTTTATGTAATAACTTGTAATTTTGTGGTAAGTTAACGGTATAATCATCATAAGGATAAGCTATCCCCAAATATAGGCTCCATAAAATATCTAATTCATTTGCGGGGAATTGTATTCGTATGTATAATACGTTGCCAGTCGAGATTTCAAATTTATCGATAAATAAATTTAAGAAAGTTATAATACTTAGATTGTCTCAAAAGGCGTATTATTATCTGAACGATTTCTTTAATGACAAGACCGCCTGGCAGTAATATAAATTGCTCCTGTTAATTAATTTACAAAAATGTATTAGTTTATAAGACATATTTAAAAAAGCCGGACTGAGTTTCTTGGGTGTTCTTCTCAGTTATGTTGCTCTTTTAAATACTCTGTAGAATCACGACAAACAGACAGACAAACGAAAAAAAATTTTGACGAATCGAACGAATATTTTTTTTTTTCAATTTAATAAAGAGAATAAAGTATATTTTATTTTGTAATTACGATAATACCCAACTTTATTTCTTACTTGAATATTAAGATCCACTTCATTAACACCTAAAATCTTTCAGAGTCAAGCATTCCGCGATATAGGACGCTCTAAGCACATAATGCAGTTAAGTTAGCGAGTAAACAACAGTTAAACATACTGACCCGGTTCTCTTTTGTTCAACTTACAGACGATTCGCGAAAATCCTAGAATTTTTTCATAAAAATACAAACTGGGAGAGCTGCAGTGGATAATTATAGGGCACTTGACAGAAACTATGAACAACGTTGCAACTTTTTACATAATTAATTGCCATTATATTTTGCCAGTTGACATGTAGAATTTATAATACGAAAATACTTGTGTATTGACATGAAACATTTGCTCTAATATTTAGTAATCAATATTATAACTACTAACACAATGAACTTGCAATTGTGCTTAGATAAATGATATATACCCATAAATGTAATCCATTGTATTTTTTTTTCTGTTGATTTATTTAAACTTATTACTTACGTACAAAACTTATGACGCTAACGTAAATATCGTCATAACATTATTAATAGCTAGCTGTGCCCGCGACTCCGTTCGCGTGGAATAGTGAGTGAGAGTCTAAAACCAAGAATTTCCATACAAACTTTCACCCCCCCTTTTCGAAATAAAAAGTAGCCTATGTCCTTTCTCAGGGTCTAGACAATCTGTATACCAAATTTCAATTAAATTCCGTTCAGTAGTTTTGGCGTGAAAGAGTAACAGACGGACAGAGTTACTTTCGCATTTATAATATTAGTAAGGATTTAAATTAAAGTATAGTAATAGATAAAATATATATTACTGATATTAATGATCCATGTATAAAGACAGAAGCGTAATTAATTATTAATGTACACTGAAGCAAAAATCTTAACACTCGCTGAAGCCTCATTATGAAGCTGAAACATTTGGGCATTCATTAATTATATTAAAAATTCTTTTAAGGCGAAACTCCTTTGCACTTTATCCACAAGGAATTATTCGTATATAGTGATTTTAAGATATATATTCTCATTTAGTATATGTTGATTAAATGATGGGAATCTGGGAGTAATTAGCGTAAAATACATTGCACCGCACTTATAAGCACTAACCGTGATTATGTGGCAGCTTAGGCTGTTCAAACCTGGCATAACAGACCCACATAACTTTCATGCTCCCAAAAGTATTCCTCATAGCTAAAGCTAAAGAGTTTGTTTGAACGCGCTAATCTTAGAAAGTACTTTTTGTGTTATCTGAAACGTTTATCAAAGAAGACTTTAGACTATAAGAAAATCACGTTGAAATCAATAGAAGCGAAGAAATAGTGGGAAATGTGGAAAAAAAGGGGGTCTATGAGAGTTTCCGTCGCGTGCGCTGGGAAAACGGTTAGAGATACCCAAAACAATAAATATTAAGGTAATACAATTTTGGTCAAAATACTTTTGCTAGTATCTCTCTGAGGGTCCTTCTTAATTATCATAATTGTGTGTCTAGTCTATAATATCTACCTAGCTTTCCGCGCTTACGCATATTGTCACCTAAACCAATCTATTGAGATTCGGCCTTATATATATAAAATAACCTTTGTATATATTATATAATAAAAATATCGTTTTTTTCTGTGTTCCTTCGTGTATGGAACGCCTTATAGTCAGTAGGAAGTTAAATCGGGCGTCGAGCCGCATCTGACGATGACAGATTAGTTATACACCATTTGTTGAGTGTAACACGTATGCGATACAACACAATGGTATTGAATTGATCATGCAAATGTAGGGTTTCGGATTTGTGGTGAATGTAGACAAGAAAAGGTTATACAATTACTAGGTTCATTAAGTAAATATCTTTATAATCTATATTAAAAACTAGCTGAGTTAGCCAACGTTATTTTGCCTTATGAAGTATTTTCACCAAATTTGATTACTGTTAAAAACGCCTCTTTTGTTCGAATCTGAAAAGATACTGTCAGGGACAATTTTTTTAGATTACTAAAAACAAACAAACAGATTCTTCAATTGTATACCATTAGTATAGATTTAAGGACCATATTATTGAAAATTTCTTCGCAATGTATTCCTTTTTAGATGAAATGTGATTTTGATGGGGATGCGAACCTCAGACTAACTGGGAGAAATGTGTATGAATTATAGGTCTTAACAACACCGCAATTGCCTTCCATTTTATTGAGCCAGTCAGTGAGTCCATCCGTTTTACTATATATACTCTTTTATCTATTTTACTATTCCGATGTTGGGCATAGATATACCCCCTCATTGGAGAGAAGATTGTAGAGTACTATTACTAATACTCAAGTGCTATCCGCACTTCGGCTTAGCGGTTAGCACTACTTCCAATCAGGAATGATAAGCAGGGGCTTAACGTAATTCCAAGACATGTAAGTGATGATATCTACTGCGGCTTCATTCTACGAGATATTCTAAAAACATATCGAACTGACACTTTACCTGTTCCGGGATTTGAATTCGGCTCCTAGTGTTTTGCAGTTTAGTGCAATAACCAATGCACGATCGAGATCGTTGAAAATAATATGCTAAATTTTTATTTGCGTATATTTAAGCGACGCTGGAATAAAACATAACTACGGGTGTGTAATGTGAAACGCCTATTAATGTCAACATTTCAAAGGGTTCATAAGCTTTTATTCAGAAAACATTTTAAAAGATTTTTCATGCACGGAGTAATATCCCTAGGGTACTTGCGATTCACGCGAAAGCTTAACACGCTTTGCTATTATCGAATTTGTGCTCCTGACTCTTTTATTTAACAGTATGTTTTATATAGAAATTATACTTTTAACAAAATGCTAGTACTTAGAACAGTACAGTGACACGAGCAGGAGTTGAACCCGAAACTTTAATGCCCAATTGAGTGTCGCGCACAGTTTAGTTGTGTGTCTTATATACATAGGGTTATTTTTACAGTTAGATTAGCGTATTATTAAAAAAACATGAAGTTATGAAACCTAAAGAGGCAAGTAAATCTGAAATTACATTATTCATGAATAAATTACTAAGAAATTGAGTTATATCTTCAGAAAGGTAAGATAAGAATTGTTAATCTCAAGGGAAAGCCTTTAGGCATGCACACTCAGAATTATAATTTTAAACAAGTAACGCCATCTACAGTTAACAGTTATACATTTTAACTCAGATACGAACCCAAAAGGTTGACTTCCATGGCACGTCGGATGACTGAAAATGGAACCCATTCGAGTTCACCGAGTGCACACCACGATTCACAATTCACGATCGCCCACAAGCCTTGCGCGCCCTCTGGTAGATGATCTACGATGTAGAGGGATGCTGACAGAATCTAGAACCGAGAACACGCAAGAATAAAATCTATAACGCCCTCTAGAGGGAGCTCATAGTACAAAACTCAAAAGTGAATATTTCATGAGATGATTAATATATCTAGTCATATTTCAGAGGAAATTTGATGAAAAATTTTCAGTCTTTTTCCAGAGTTTAATTACTTTCTACTACTTTAAAGACTTTTTGTAATTATACAAAGCGACAGTCCTACGCCAGATTTATCGAAGTTTAAGTGATTGTTATACATCACATCTCAAACTTATTATTTGAACTATAATAGGGAATTACTAATTGGAGTTGTTAAGTTAGAAAGTTCTTTATGTTATCTAGTTTATTAAACTCTATAAAACTTGAATAATCAACTAAATAAAATAAGTTATTGTACTCGTACAAGGAGCACTAAAGTTATGTGATCCGGTCACATTATCACATTTTTAGTAGTCATAAAATTTAAAACCAGTCATAACATCAGCTATCGACTATCAGTACAAATAGACAAAAAAGTCTAAAACATTTACTTACTTCCGTCGGGTTGGTACTCTTATTTTGTCCTTATTACGTGTATTGTACCGATCAAAACTGCCAATCGTTAAAAAAAAACTAAATTTTTCCTTACGTACACCATAGAGGAGATGTACCCTACGTATAACAGACAGGAGGGATAAAACAAATATCCTGATACTAGGGCAATATGTAGTTATTCAATACCTGTGTTTCAGAAGTGACGTCCAACTGCAGTGTATGGAGTCTCCCAGAGCAGTCCTCCTTAAGCATATCAGCGTCAATGTTTCCAGCTTTATTCTGGAATCCTGCAAACACGTGATATCCTAGGTCATCCAGCCTCCTCGCCAAAGCATTCCCCAGGACATTGTCACACCCAGTGACAAGGACAGCCTTGCCTGCTGCTGTGACCTGGACAAGATCATGAGATGATTATTGTATTGAGATTAGGCGTTGATTTAAAAAATTCTGGTATATTTATAGGTATATAACTATTTATTTTACCTAAATCTATATTTAGGTTTATTATTTAGAAACATGATTAATTATGAGAAATAAGGCCAAGTTTTATGTGTTACTTAAGATTACATCTTAATACAAATTTGGAAAAAAACAAATTCTCTCAATAAAAAAATAATATTCTAATTACTATTGCATTGAGTACGTGTGGAGTTTTATAGAAGTAAGAAGTCGATTCGTAAGTTACGGGTTCGAATTTAGGATGAGGCGAAATGACAATGTTACAAGGGAAATTTCTAGTCAGTCTAATTACTAACTATTTTAAAAGGAGAGAAGGAAGTGTCAACGCGCCCTGTGCCTTGGAGAGTACGTTTGGCCGTTGGTCTTTGTTGTCATTACTAAATTGATAAGCCGTAAAAGAACACCAAGCCGCACCAAAGCAGCATGGTGGACCTATTATTTTAAAAAGAGAATACCAGTGTCTCAACCAGTACTAGTGTACTACTAAAGTGTACTGTACTAAAAGTAAAATGAAATAATGGATAAGGAAAAAAGCAAGTCACCTTCCATCAAAATTCCCTCATTTAACAAAACAACATGTCGTTCCGGAGAAAGAATCAAAATAACACAATTTATGTTCGGATGTGATTGTTACAGAATAATAGAACGGGGAATTAAGTTTTCGTTGAAAGTAGACGTCGCTTTTATGATTGATGCTCGTTGATAGATTATTTTGACAGTATGAGAAATAATAATCCTTCTTACCCACATAACTTTTGTTAAGTATGATAAATATATAAACATATATGCCTCGTAATGTTTTATAAAAATTAAGAAACAAGAATATTAACGGCTTACAAAATAGTTTTTGGTCAAATTGAAATATGGAAAATTTTATATCCTTAGTAACTTAAAACAAAATTCATTTAAAAAATTATAAAAAAAAATGTTTTACTCTTAAAATAAGTTTAAATAATTTGAGATACTTATTGTTTTGTTCAATACTTATATAGTTTTTGTGGCTTATGGATAAATTTGAACTGTATGTAATATATATTGCGATTATTAAATATTAGAGATCAATGTCGATTAATTGTAATAAAAATGGGTAAGCCGTAAGGGACAATAAACATTTTTTTTGCCGAAATTATTAATAATTATAATAGAATCCCGAGAAAAGCATAGATTGTTTCGGTCGGGTAAGGCACATGATGAAGAAGGTCTAATCAACTTCTTTAGGAGAAACGTTGGTCAAAGAAATGTTTTCGCCTTATGCCCCAAAGGGAAGCAAGATTTCACTTTTATATTACTTTAAAATATCGGTTATTGGAATTAAAAAAGGAGCGGCGTTATTGTACGTTTGCATAAGGTGTGTATGATAAAACTAACGTTTGTTTTTGCCTAGCTATAAAGATCGGCAGTGCGAACAATGACGCGAAGATTCAAACGAACGTTCGCGCAATTATTTGTCAACAATATAAAGGTTATGATTTCAGTTATAATGAGCGGTTGAGTGAATATTCAGTTTTCAGCGTACGATAATTTTAGCTGAAAGTACTTCTAACGGTTCCACTAATATAATTAGCACACAAACATGTTTGCTTTGTCAGGTGAATACAGTATTATGCACTAAATTTTCCTGAATATTAGAGGAATTTGATATTTCGAAATCATTATGAAATTCATTATTTTTTTACTTGACATAAATATGCACATATTCTCCACATTGTTTTATTATTATCTTATATCGTAGCAATAAGAAAATAAAGTAAAATTAAATAAAGTGGTATATAACTCCAAATATTATTAAAATTTTAGGAATATTTATTACACTTTCCTATTTTAAGCTATGGAAAAGCCAGGTATACACCCGCTTTTATTATATTTAATATCCTATCAACAATTGTATTCCTCAATACAGATTCAATTATATAGAATTTTAAAAGTATCGTATCTACGGGCGACATGTAACGTACGCGTGACTGTCGGGGTTAAATATTTCAGGGTTGGCTGTTAATCCTTAATCTTACGACTTTCTCAGTGACCGGAGTCACGCAGTATTCACAGCCATTTGCATGCAATAAAACGCGATGACAATTGCGTGAAAAAACAATTATTAATTGTTGCCTGCTTTGTTATTTTATTTGGGGTTAATTTCTGCCTTTACGCCTTCGTGCTTGATTTTAGACCTGTTAATAAACAAAAGTTATATCACATAAGTGTACTTTGGACATAGGAGAAACGAATTTGTAAGAGTCAAATTCTTGGATCATAATTATTATTATTACATCAAATCAATAATTATTTTTATTTATTTTTTATTTATTATTTATAAAACACACCACAGAAAATACATATTAATGAGAAAAATCTTACGTAGTAGCTTATAAATAAAGGCGGCCTCATCGCTAAATAGCGATCTCTTCCAGGCAACCTGAAGTACAGGAGAAAAGAAATAGAAAATAATTTAGTTAATGGGTAGGTGTAAGGACAAAGAATATCAAAGGTACCTAGTAAAAGTACACACAACGAGTAGGAGAGAAACTAACTTAAATATTGGAAACATATAGAGCAAACTCTTAAAAGAACGGAGTGATTGAGCTTTTCTGATATTAGTGGGAAGAGAGTTTAATTACTTAAGTATATTAATTTGCCAACGAACAGAAGAAAAAATTTAGTAACTTAAAGCTACTGAACACTTAGTGCTAACGATGTGTGTTTAAGACGCGTAATGTATTCGTTAATGTTTTTTACAAATAATCTAAATTACGGATGACGTTTCGGATGCTTTGCAGCAGCACGGTGTGTGAGCAAAGAGTGTCCCTAAAGTCAAAGCCAAAAATCTGCTACGCTAGCGCCATCTGTTCTATTGTGTTAAAAGTATTTTATTTAAATGTGTACTATTATTCGTATATTCAGGAACCATATAATTTGTTCGTCATATAAATATATCATAATAATTTGGCTATTTGGAGTACAATAATGCATTCAACATATTAAAGCATGGAAAGAAACTTAAAAGTTCCACTTTTCTCTCTTTATTGTCAAGCACATACACAGGGCAACCAATAAGTAGAGAAACAGGATATAAAAATGTAATTCTCGAATGGAAAAGAAAGTCGTACAAGTTAGCGCGGTCTATTCCATGCGTCGGCCGTTAACCTATTTTTATATGAGAGTAACGGGTGACGTAAGCGATGCACGGAGGTTGGCACAACTCCCTGCTATTTCTATAATTCGATCGCACAGACGAGCCGGAGGGCAGCTATTGATTGGAACAGTTGTATAGCACGCTAAATAAATACGTTCTTTCATTCAACTTCTGGTGCATTTCACCGGAATTGTTTTCAGGTATATAATATAGTTTAACTGCTGAGGGCGATTCTCAAACAAAGGAAATGTACACCGCCACAACACTCAAATTATGCATTTTTAATTAGCAAATTTAAGTGGCAATAATGTATATTTTTCTTATTAAGTGATACATATAATCTCTATTCGTACCAAAGACAAATTATTTGAGAGGGCACTTAGACTATTATGCCTGCAGTTACCGGGATTCGATCTCACGTTCTTTTATGCCTACTGTACAGTCATTCATAGGAATAAAACTATGAATCGCATCGCTAGTCATCATAAGTTTATTAGAACCGCCACGAATATAATAATATTTATTATTTATATTATATTTATTGATTATTTTATGAACTTCTATCTTACTACCAGTACTTGGTATTATTAATATCGAAGATACATTTTTAATTAAACCGCGATTTGAACTCTGGACTTCGGGATTTGCAGTCATGTAAACCGACTGTATCAACTGGATAGAGATACATTCAGATATCTCAAAACACATATTTTCAGCGTTAAGATGTGATTACACGTGTAAAAACCACAAAGATATTATGGTTACTTAATTAAAGCTCAACGTTTCAAGAACATACAAAGGTAATGCATAATCTTCTCAAAGGTTACCTAATCTTAAATGTCTATATAATTGCGGTGAAATTTTTAGATTTATTATATAGCGGTTTATTTTTATATGTCAAACCGTAGAATAATATTATATTTATGTTTTTTCGGAGACTAGGTAGAAATAGCCGGGCTGATTTAAAAGCTATGATTAGTATTTCACGTGAAATATACACGATTTTTTAACTAAGACCTAACGACAACGGTTAGTTAAATAAGATATTTAATTGTATTATATTATGCGCTTGAGAAGTAGCGGGTTCCTGTGTATAAGATTAACTTGGCATGTCTCTAGAGAAATCTCTCAAAAAGATGATTTTCCTTAAGAGCGTTCTCGCAAGGACTTTCATTTTTGAAATGTAATGGATACGTTTTGTCCTCTAATGAGACGGTTGGTGTTCACTTTACTTAATATAGAATATAAGCCATATAGATGTTTAGGTCAGATAAGCGTTGTTCATGCAGTTAACCAAACGTTATCCCCGCCCATTATTTATTCCCCCGAAAAATTTGAAAACCTTTTTTATCGGATCTTTGCTATGTGCAACGGATATCTTTCAAGTTTCAAGTTACTTCAATAAAATGATTAGACACGTGCTGATTGATTAGTTACGCTAACATTTATTTATTTACACTTAATTGCACAAAAAAAAAATTAACAAAAATATAAACTTACATACTAAATACTGTCTATAGTTTACGCGAGTAGAACACATTTAAATAGAACACTTTAACGGTTTAAAACGCGATATATTAGTTAAACTTATTTGAAAATGATTTCCCTCTTAATAATCCCCGTGACCACGGCTGCTGCAAAGCATCCGAAACGTCGGGCCGAAGTTAAAAATCATTTTCAAATAACTTTAACCAATATATCGCGTTTTAAACCGTTAAAGTTTTCTATTTAAATAATATACTAAACATATGGAGTGCAATGGGCGGCCTTATCGCTAACGAGCGATCTCTTCCAGGCAACC